TATTCTTAATGTGTCAAAATATTGTCAAATATTATTTTAAAAATTACTAAAATAAGTCATGTTCTTAAGTCAAGTTTAAATGGAATTTTAAAAGTCTGGTATTTATATTGGCTTTCAGGAACCACTTTGTCCTCCATGGTAATGTCAGCGGACCACTCTGGACTCACATTCACTCTTTCCCTGATCAGAACTGAACCCACTTACAACCAGCCCATGCAACAGTGGAGCTTCGTTTCTGACTTTGCTGTAAGTTCAAGTCCAGTTTTCTACCTTTTGTTTCTTTTAGGTACTGTCAATCATAGTAATCATACAGTAAATGCAGGCTATAGATTGTATGAATATTAAAAAGGTGAACTGATCATATGTGTGTGTAGGTGAGGGACTATTCCGGCACCTATACTGTGAAGCTGATTCCATGCATTGCTTCACCTAACGGAGAGTTCAGCATACCCCCTGTGTGTCACCCGAGGGAGCCCCTCACCTTCGACATGGACATCCGCTTCCAACAGGTTGGTTTCTTTTTTTCATTCTGAAAATTTGGTATTGATCTTTGATCCTTCTATACGGTTAGAGCATGTTCATCTAATCCTACAAGTCACAATGACTATTTAAGCATGATGCTTATTATTTTGTGCTGTTTCTCAGGTGAGTGACCCTGTAGCAGCAGAGTTCAGTTTGAACACACAGATGTTCTTGCTGTCGAAGAAGGAGATGTGGCTGTCTGATGGCTCCATGGGCTTTGGAGAGGGCACGGACACTGCCTTCATGGAAGGTACTAGAATCCAAGAGTGATATAATATACTTATTTAAATATTAGTTTAGGTGAAAATAGTTGAACTACTAATTCATTCACTTCCTGCCTTGAGAATGAAACCTTATTCCGATCGGTTCCCCTGTAGGTTCGAACATCTACGGTCGAGTGATGGTGGACCCAGTGCAGAACCTGGGCGACTCTTTCTCCTGTAGCATAGAGAAAGTGTTCCTTTGTACTGGCACAGACGGCTACGTGCCAAAGTACAGCCCTACTAATAAAGAGTATGGATGCCTGGCTGACGCTCCATCCTTGCTGTATAGACTCAAGATCCTGGTATGTAATTTATTTTAACCTCATACCTTCTTGCTTTACTGTACCTTTCGTACAAATGTTAATTATAAATGTAGATCTTACCACTATGTGAATCTTTATTTGAATAGAGAACGATTAAAATCTCAGTGACATAAGCGTGTCAATGACAAAAGTGCAAAGTTTTTATAAATGCAGTTTAAAAGAATCAAAATCATGTGGTTTCATGTGATTTTGTGGGGGGAAAAAAACTTTTATACAATTTTTTTCAAGTTTAAAATGTCTAAGAATGCTATGTGGTTTCAAAAAAAGTTGAAAAATATATTTTTCAAAGTATTTTTAGGGAGTTGCACCACATGACATTTTACAGTCTACACTAAACCTGCCTTGTCATAAAGAGGTCAGATTATATTTCATATGTATTCTGTATTTTGACCACACCAACATGACGTTGATTTGGCAGACAAGTTTTTTTTCCCCCAAATATTAATAAACAATGGTGAAGTTTTGTGTATCCCCCCCCCACCCCCAACAGATAGTAAAATATCATTGCATATCAAAGATTTTTAAGGATTTTGTTCTTTTAAGCCTTTGTAATTGTTGTTGTTTTTAAGCAAGGTGATAAAACTGTATTAGAAGTTTTATCACTTTGACATTTTTTTATTTTATTTTATGTCCCCCAAAAATATCAAAGTTGATTTTAATACAGAAATAAAAACATGCTCATCATAGCTCATGTTTTCAAGTCAATGTATGTAACTGCATGTTAATTGAATATCTTTCTTGTGTTCACTGATTGTATGAACTTGTTGGTCTTTGAACTTTAGGACAAAGCTCAGCCAGAAACTCAAGCCACCACCTTCGGAAATGTCAATTTCGATGCCAGTCTTGCTTTAGATACCCCTGGAGCCCTGCCTTTGGTCCGACAACCTGGATCAGATGGTTTCACCCTGTCATCATCTCCACTCTTCCAGGTCAGAGACTCACCATGTTTTGTAACCATAGTAAAACCCAATTTGAACCAGAATCTTGAGCATTCTTTCATGTTTAATTCATCAGGTAACTGCTGGCCGTGAATGGTTCATCCACACCATCTACACACTCCGTTCTAAAGAGAATGCCAGCCGTGGTAAAAGAAGCCTTGAGTACCACCACGCTATATCCTCCATTGCTGACTCTGGCACCCAATCCCGAAGTCGACGTGCAGTACGTGACCCAGAAGCTTTCGAGATCGGTGCTGAGAATAATCTAGGAACCAACATTCAGCACATCGCCCTGGATCGCTCAAACCGACTACGGGTGAGTCAGCCATGGGGTCGTGAGAACTACCTGGAGCACCCTCTGGTGGAGGGGAGCCTGGGCAAAGGGCCTGGTTCAGATTCCTCTCTTCCCGCTGGCATGTCCACATTGTTGGGGGTGGCTGGGCTCATCCTGCTGGTATGCCTGGTTGTAGTTCTGGTGGTTCTCTTAATGCGACGCAAGAGGAAAGATAAAAAGTACCCACCTTATTCCACTTCGTCCTGCACAGCGTACAACAGGGAGCCCATGAGACACAATGTGGACAGCTCTGAGGTTTAAACCGCCCCTGTTCCCTGTTCATTAAGACATGCAAAAACTAACTCTCACTATGGTGCTCTTCTTCTCAAGAAGCAGCTGAAGTTGAGGAGACAGAAAGATTCTGAGATCTAAATCCTCAGTTCAAATGACAACATCCGATATGTGGCTCTTTTGGAGGTTTCCACAGCTTAAATGAAGACATCTTGACTCCAAGACTCTTCATGTTACTTGGTCAAACAAAAGGAAGTTGCTTGTTGCCTTTTTCTTAGGATTAAGTTTGAGCTTCATAGTACTAATGTTATTTTAGCGTGCTTCCATCAGTAGTTCTGTGAACCAGAATTGGCCACAGTGATCCTGCTCAGACAAACAGAGCGAATCTGTGCTTCAGCTTGTGTCAAACTCGAATTGAGTTATATATAAATCAACGTATTTTTTCCCCAAGTTCAAAAAAGTTCCATTGTAAACAAGAATAAAAGGTACATTTACTTTGGCATGAAAGCGTATGTTGGACATCAAAAGCCTTATTCAACTACCCAGGCAATTTAAACTCGTTCAAGATCATTGGGAATTTTTTTTTTTTTAATTAGTCCATTTTATTTTCATTCAAATTTTCATAACAGTTCTTCTTCTGAGTGTGCGTGTTAGATTTAAACAAATTGAGAGATGAAAGAACTGGGTTCTTCGAACACTGTTGTAGTAAATGTATCTATTTTTATATGTTCCATGACATGAAATGCTGTGTACAAGAGCACAGGTCAGCGTTCCCACGTGACCGATGTGTTGCTATGCAAAGGGAGCGTGATGTTTAATATTATTAATTCAAGTTCGTAACTATTCAGAATGTACTTATTTTTATACCTTTTCAGGATGTTAAAATGTGGTTTAGAATTACACAATAATTCTGTGTACACAGCTGCCTGTTACATATCTGGTGTTGAAAGGAGAGACTGGTGTCAAAAAAACTTGAAAACGTGTGAACCACATACTTTTTTTCCAATTAAAAATCATTACAGATTTACAAATTTAAAGCAAATAATGCTGAATATGCAAATTATAATTTCAAACTGTTGCTTGCGGGTTTTTTTTTGTGCTTTCCCAATTGATATTTGTTTCAATTTATTGTTTAATGTTGGTTATTGCTCAGTGTATTAAAATTGAATTGTCAGACACAAACCAAGATTTTTTCCACCAATATTTTGTAATATATATCTCACCCTGTATTATACAAATGACTAAATATCAAATAACTCCAGGACACAAGTTTTAAACCCAACAGATTTAAAGAAGTCTGTGTCAGCGAATACACCATTAGCCTTGTGTTTGAAAACTGCCGTTTTATTAACTGCATATGTTTTTGAGAATTATTTAATGTCATTTTCTTTTTTGCTGATGAAAAGAATTCTGTTAAGATACTTGGATCCTTGTTTCATTATAAAGTGCCTGTTAAGATAAATGCCTACTTCTATACCCTGTGACGAGTTGAATTTCTATCATTTCAGCTGTTGTAAGATCAATCAAATGTGCATGATACCCTTGATATGTAACATGTTCCAGGCAGTAAGAAGTAAACTACTGATAAATTCCAAGTTCAAACTGCATTGAATAAGGTGTGGTTGTAGTTGAGGCTCTCTTACATGCAGAGGTATCTATCAGGACACCATTTATGATTTAAAGGGATAGTTCACCTCTCGTGAATGTGCGGAAGAGAAGAAATTGTTGAATGAAGTCATTATTTTTGTTTCTTTGCATACAAAACGTGTTTTTGTAGCTTCATAAAATTACAGTTGAACCACTGATGTCACATGGACTATTTTAACAATGTCCTTACTACCTTTCTGGGCCTTGAACGTGTCAGAAAGCTCTCGGATTTCATCAAAAATATCTTAATTTGTGTTTCGAAAATGAACGAAGGTCTTACAGGTTTGGAAAAACATGAGGATGAGTCATTAATGACAGAATTTTCATTTTTGGGTGAACCATCCCTTTAATATTAACCCATGTTCTATTAGAGAGTCGGACTCGTAACCCAAAGGTTGCGGGTTCGAGTTTCGTACCGGCAGGGATTGTAGGTGGGGGGAGTGAATGTACAGCACTCTCTCCCACCTTCAATACCACGACTGAGGTGCCCTTGAGCAAGGCACCGAACCCCTAACTGCTCCCCGGGCGCTGCAGCATAAATGGCTGCCCACTGCTCCGGGTGTGTGTTCACGGTGTGTGTGTTCACTGCTGTGTGTGTGCACTTTGGATGGGTTAAATGCAGAGCACTAATTCCTAGTATGGGTCACCATACTTGGCCACATGTCACTTAACTGTAATTGAAATTGCAGTTTTGAAAACGGTTAAAAATCATCACAAATTCCATTAGTTGCAATGCCAGCAGTAATCTCCTGAAGTATCATTTTTATTGAGTTTATTTTCAAATGTACATTTCTTTCAGATTCATTAAAAAAGATATAAAGCATCAGGGTCTGAGGACTCAAAGAAAAAAAGATTTGAGTAGAAGGGAAACAATATAGGCACAGCTTTGAATCAAAAGACATGCTTGAAAAGCCTGTATCGAAATACATACAGCAGAAGCCACCAATGGTGTTGCAACACATCAACAGTGTCTTCTTGGCTTAAGAATGGCAGTTAGTAGAGCTATTTTATTTTATACACACAGTAAAGTTTTATGCTGATGTATTCTGAATAGATGTATTCTGACATGAGCTAAAATCACCGAACGGATCATATTTACAACATTCAAAAAAAGTTGCAATGGTAAGGCAATTAGTCTCCAAGAGCTGCGGAACTCCATCTGAAATAAATTATCGAAGTAGCAATAAAATGCATTGATAGACCAGTCACACAGAGAATGAAGAAACATAATACAATTCCTGAAACTACTTGACCGGCTTTTCCTCCCCTCCATGAAGGCATCTCATTCTTAGTAATAATATCTTGCATCGTAAGCAATTTCAAAAGGTTTCTATGAGAACATACGATCTGCAACACTAAAGACGTCATCTATAGCTGCAAAATAAAATAAAATAAAATAAATGAAAGCTGTTAAACCTTTCAGTGAGTACCTGACCTCGGCGCTTTTGTAAATTGATACCTTGGCTTTGAAGAAAATTAAAAGAGAGAATAAAACCAAAAACAAAAAACACACAAAACTTCAGAGAAATCTCTTCTCTGTTAAAAACTATCACAGTTCCTGATTCCACCAATAACATTTCATAGTTTCTGATACCATCTCAGACCGTGTAGACTTCTATCCTGCAGAATCCACACCTTAGCCTTAACATACTAGATATTAGATACAAATAAAGGACACTTTTATTCATGTACATAACACTTTATACAGTCTGCCTGCTGTCTTAAATGCAAATGCAAACGATAATCATTTTCAAGCAAACTAACTCACCTTAGCAGATTTGCGGCTCAAGCAACTCAAAACCTTTTGATTGCACTACCGAATTACAAATGAGGCCCAAAAGAATAAAACAAATGGGAAAAAAAATAATAAAAAATAGATGTGTAAAAGTTTCAGATTATCATGGAACTATACACAAAAAACCTTTTAGGCTTCTAAAATGCATCCTAAAAACTCACCTTGGCAGTTTTGTGAACATGGAACGTTGTTTAAAAAAAATAAACACCTTGAGGACAGACAAATTCACCAGACCTGATGCTCCCCTAGCCCAAGGAATAATGTGCTTTAACACCACGATGTGGGAAAAACAATATCCAAAAATCTGAAACTGTCTGAGTTGATGAGTTGGGGGCAGTTTGTATCCATGTAGTATGAATAATGCTGCTGTTAGCGTAGTTTTCACTTGGCTTTCAGCCGAAAAGGCTCGGCAAGTCCTTCAAGCCCCTATGCAGAGTGCGGTCCATCCTACTTGGAGTCTGTCAGCTTATACATGAGGATCCCTCGGATCAGCTCTCCCCTGCTCGGGTGCTGTCGTCTAGCAGGAAGCAGTGTAAACTTGCTGATCTGGGAGCTGTGACCTAGGTGCTGTCACACAGCTGTATCTAAAATCAAATGTGGAGGCCTGATAGGAGGTTCAGAGCGTGTGCAGTGCCCTCCGTTCCTCGGCCTCCCGCGAGTCATGACCGTGCACAAAAAAGGAAAGAGATGGGTGTCATTTGGCCCCTTTGTTGGGGGGATCTTGCTCCGTCGACTGCCGTCCGTCACTCCAGGCCTCACGTGTGCTCTTCAGTGCTTGCGTTCGCTGCTGATCCACCACCACATAGTCTACCCGCTCGTCTGATGCTGAAATACCAGTCCCGTTACTCTTCTTCTGCAAGGTCAAGATATGAGAGACAGTCAAAACAGGAGAGAGAGGTGACAAAAGTACCGATATTTGGGTAAGTTGATACAAAAAAAAAACAAAAAAACCTGTAACATCAATTTTCTACGGTATTAGTAGTATATAAACAGATTTTTTAAGATTCTTTATATTAAATAATTATTTGAAAAGTTGAATAAATGTTTCCTTTAGGGATGCACAATGTATCGGTACAATATCGGTTATCGGATGATAATATATATTTAATTGTAAATGCTAAATTACCCTATTTTTACCCTTTGCCATTATGTAATATTCATATAAAGCTAATCTTTAAACACACTAATAATTTAATAACACTGTTAAATGCAATATTTAGAAAATGTTGTGATTCCTAAATTCACTTGTAGCATTAAACACTACTTTCAGTTATTAGTGTTTTACTCTGACATCTGGCATTATATTTTTGCATTGAATTTATAAAAAATAATAATCCTCAAATGATGTACAGGCAAAATGCACTGGTAATGAGAGAGGCCAGAGAATGACTCTATTCCATCAAGCTGAGACAAAAGCAGATTTCAATCCCGTTAATTAATGGCAAAAAGTCTATAACAGGTGTATAATCAGAGCCTGAGGATAAGAACACTGGGGTCAACATGTATTATGCCTCCATTTTTACGCTTGTCTGACTCCTGATGATAAAAAACCTCACCCAAAGGTTGTCTAAGTCTGCTTAATTATTTTTCATATCTTACCTTCCGAGGAGGAGTTGATTTCCCAGGGTCCAAGTCGAGGTCCAGGTACTCCACCTGCTTGTCTCCTTTGGGCTTCACCATGGGACTGCTACCTCCATCAGCATTCATTGGTGCTGCTAGCTTCATGTTCTGAGATATTAAAAAAAAATAAAATAAATTACAACAAAAAGGTTGCATACATAGAGATAATAGTCAATGTTGTAGTCAGAATTAGTTATTAAAAGATTTATGCTACTGATATATTAATCTACTACAATGATACTAGATGATGTAAGTGAAGAGTCTGAATTTTTAAAATACTTAATCTAATCTATTTATCTATCAGTGACATGCGGTCCTTCACCCAACACTCATTCGAATTACTAAATCGGTAATGAGTTGTGTACACATTATCCTGTCTGCAAAATATGCAGAAATAGGTCTTTCTAAACTCTTTCATATTGATCAGACAGCTTCATAATTCCTTAATGATCAATGTAAGTAATTCAAAATAATGCTCTACTAGTTCTAGAGGACTCTGCTGAAGACACAACCTCTGTAGATGTCAATCCAACCTCTAAAAGTGCCATTTGCAAGATTATTTCCATGCATTTTCATGGTATGAGTCATAAATGTAATAATTATGTATATGTAGTTTTTCTATACATGTTTCAAAATATATCAAGCCTTATTTCATGCTGCTTTATTTAGTAACTCAATACAAATCCAATCATCAAGTGACTGTCTGGGGGAACAATGCTACAATGTAATGCACAGTGTATACAATTGATAAAATAACAATACAATCATGTATAGCTATGATTATCTTTGAAAAATCTGGAATGTAAGACATCATAAAACTCTATGCAAGTAATTTAGGTTCCACTCATGTTGAAATAAACGGGTTTTTTTTTACAGAGAAAAAAAAATCTAATGACACACATACACTACTGTTTGAAAGTTTGGGGACATTTGTTCCATGTCTTCAAAAGATGTCTCTTATGCTTACCAAGGTTGCATTTATTTGATCAAAAATACAGTAAAACAGCAATATTGTAAAATATGATTACAACACTATTTATAAACACTACGATTTTCATGATTTTATATATATACAAAAAAACTAATTGTTTTTCAGGCGTTTTCCCCCCTAGGTCATATGTCATCTAAGTTTTGTGAAAGGGATAGTTCACCTAAAATGAAAATTCTGTCATTTTTTTTACTCACCCTCCAGTTGTTCCAAACCTGTATGAATTTCTTTCTTCTGCTGAACACAAAAGAAGATATTTTGAAACAGCTAATGGTCACCATTGACTTTCATAGTATTTTTAGATTTTCTGTAGGATGAGTAAAATATGACAGAATTTTCTTTGACAGAATTCACTATCCCTTGAGAACACATATCCAGAGTGTTGTTCAATCCACCTTCATAACCCTGCTCACCTCATCCTGGTGGTCTAGACCTGACACTTCTCTCTTTATAGGAGTGATGGGAACTGTACAGTAGAAGGACTCTTCTCTACAGAATGGAGCAACAGGGAGGAGAAGAGGAGTAGAAAAATCAAAGAGTAAACAGGAAACAAATGGCAAAGGCACGCAGAGAAACTAGAAATGAAAAATGCAAAATACAGATGAGGCAGACAACAGGATCCACAAAAGGAGGCAAGGAATAGAATGTTGGAAATAAGAAGCAGAAAAGAGGCAGAGAAATGTCTCTTCCAAATATTGGCAGTTGAATCCAGTGCAACAAAAGCCATACTGTGCAAGTGTTATCAACAGTTTTACTGCTGCATGCTAACATGTTAGCAAACAAAACAAGCCATGCACAAAAAGCTCCATTTTACCATAGTAAAAAAGTAATATATTTAAAAAACATTTATTTCGTACTAAGTATAGTTCAAATCTATTAACATATTTACTAACATATCGTTCGATACTTACTGATATAAAAACTCAGTAACACTTTCTATGAAGCCCATATTTATATTACATTATAAGGGTATTCTTAGGGCATTATAATGAATGCATAATGCATTATAAAAACCTTATAATATGCTATATCATCTTATGAATATTCATAAGAACCGTTTTAATGTTTTATATTTACCTATTTGTGGTTATAGCTTTTAAGAGTATGATGATTTATAACACACAGTGAACACGTTGCATCCACTTATTTTACAATGAATTATATTTCTCATAGTTATAATGTATTATAAGTCTCATATCTTACCATCTCTCTTATGCTACTTCACTTAAAGCAATCAAAGACCACTTATAAGTATAATAATAATTATAATTTTTCTCAAACAGCCATAAGATCAGATATCAGATCAGATGAATGTCTAATATGACACATTTGCTTTGAACTATTTTTATTGTAATATCAATTTGATTATTTTGATGGTACCCTTTAGACAGCTGTTTGATAAGTAACTTTGCAACTACATGTCAATTAGCGGTCATTGGAGTATTAGTAGTATGTCTGCTAAATATATGCTAACACTTTATTTTGATGGTTCCCCAAAAGACAAACTGACTATAAGTAACTTTGCAAGTACATCAACATTCTACCTACCCTAACCTTAACCTAAGCCTACTAATACTCGAATGAGAGTTAGTTGACGTAGTTGCAAAGTTGCTTATAGTCAACAGACTAAGGGGACCATCAAAATAAAATGTAACCTAACATATAAACATTGCATTTTTTTCATTTGAAATTATTAACTAGCTCACATCAAAATTAATATTAGCCTCACAGGGAACACTCAAATAACACTCCACACCTAACCACTTACAAGATGTAGTAAGATACTGTGCAGATCTTAAACAATGTCAAGATATATATAGTCCATTATAAATGTAAAAGTATATTTAATATGGTGTTCATTGTGTGTTATAAATAATCATAATCTTAAAAGTTATAACCACAAATGCGTATATGCATATTATAATTATAATTATTGTTATGATTATTTATATGATATAACATATTATAAGGTTTTTTATAATGCATTATTATAAAAGGTATGAGGACCTCAGATGATGCCAACCCTGAAACAACATAAACTACCACATTTTGCTATAAGTTTGATTGCATCATATAATAATTGCTGTTAATAGTGTTCATCGTCTGTTTGATTACATCTTTAATTGATTTTTCCATACATTTCTGCCATATGTACATTAACTGACAGTCACCACTGATAAGCTACCACTAAATATTGTAGAAACTTAATTTGCTGTAAAGTTGCTTTGCAACGATTTGTATCGTGAAAAGCGCTGTACAAATAAACTTGAATTGAATTT